CCAGCGCCAGGACAAGAGGGAATGGCCTCAAGCTGTGCCAGGGCAGGGTCAGACTTCAGACTGGCTCTGAGGAAGTATTTCTTTGCAGAAGGGGTTGTTGGGCGTTGGAATGGGCTGCCCAGGGCAGGGGGGGAGTCCCCATCCCTGGAGGGGTTGAAGAGTCGGGTTGACCCAGCGCTGAGGGATCTGGTGGAGTTGGGAACGGTCAGTTTGAGGTTAATGGTTGGACTGGATGATCCTCAAGGTCTTTTCCAACCGAGATGATTCTGTGATTCTCCATGTCCCCTGCCCCATTTCTGGTGGGGGACCTGCGCCCGCCTTAGCCCAGAGTGGTGAGGCTGCTGTCTTGCAGCACAGATCCTGCCACCTCTCTCATTCACCACAGAAAGAGTGCTTTCCACCTGGAGGTACCAACTTAAATTCAGCAGGAAGGAGCTTTCCGAGGGGTTTCTGGCTGTTTCCCGCTGCGGCTGGACGCTGCACGGGGAGCCCTGCTAAACTGCCTGGTGCAAACGGGGATGAACTCAGCATGACGGGCGGTGGGGTCTCAACCCCTGAGCTCCCAGCTGCTTTGGAGAGACAGATATCTGGAGGTTTATGCTCCTTTTGTCCATGTGCTGCTCAGCCACTGCCACAGCTGGGCACATAGAGGGGCTCGGGTCTTTGCGTGCACAGCGGCAGCTCCAGGCATTTTGTTCACCTCCCTGTGAGCCCTGGTCATGTTGGTCTCATTTGTGTCAAGCTCCCCGGGGCTCTCAGTATTTCCTCCCAGTTTTCCTTCCTTCAAGCAACTCCAACCTAGTCTGTTTCTTGCATGCTTATCATTGCATGGCAATTAGAGAGTTAAAAGCCTTATCAGCTACCTGGTGGGAGATTGGTGAGTCAGCTCCTTGCAGGATCAAGTGCTGGTTCAAAAAAGTTATGAAACCTCCTTTTTTTTTGCATGGAGGTTTCTTTAAATTCAAAATGTAAACCACAGAACTGAAAAGAGGTGGGTGGGTATTTAATTTGCATTTAAAAAGTTAAAAAGACTAGACACAGAGCTAAATGTGCCAGCCTGGTGCCATCCTCCAGAGCTGAGGGACCTACAGCGGCACTGGGGTGATCAGAAAGATCAGCATTCAGAAGCAATTGCCTTCGTGATTATGGGAGATGCTATCAGAAAGAGTTAGTAGGCTTCAAAATTGCAGCTAGCTTCAGACAACATGGAATTTCAAGTTTCAGAGCCACCCGCTGTTGGAAGCAGCTTGTCCTGCATCTCCTGACCCTGCATGTGGCAAGATCCTGCAGCACCTGGTAGTTATCAGCCCTACCCTGGGCATGGGGCATGGAGCGTAGCTGGGGACACTGCCTGGGTGGGAAGATGATCTGATTTGGGCCCTGTGACATGGCTGTGTAGTGAGCTCACTGCCTGTCTGCCAGCAATGAAGATATCCGAGAGGCCTGGATGTGCCTCTGGAAATCCCAGGGGCGAGAGTGGGATGGAGCAAGAGCGTGGCACGGTTGCTGAGAAGTAGGGTGATGGCTTTGCAACTCCCTGGCGTTCCCAGGGAATGAGGCTTTGTAATGCAGGCTTCAGGGTTACATGATGAGCAGAGTTTCTTGGTTCTTTTTCCTTTTGTGTTTGCAGGGGAAAATGTGAAAACTTAGATGATGAAGTTTTAAATATAAATCAAAATAAGCTTCAAGATACGTGCGTTTTTACTCATGATTTTTAACTAGCTCTGTTGAGGGGGGGTGTTGCAGTAAGTCTAGCTTGTGAATTTTTTTTTATCACCTTGGGGTTGGCAATATTGCAGGTTTCTCAGGTCAAACAAGAAGTGATCTTGTTGGACAAGAAGAGCAGAAGGGAAAAGCAGGAGCCTGTCTCAGAAGTGCCAGTGTTTTTTGAATTGCTAAACCCCATCTCGTGTCGTTCATCTCACTGGAACAGTTAGCTGGACAACTTGCTGTTTTAAGCATGCAGCCTGGTGTCCTGTCTAGCTGGGCCCCATCCCTACCAGCAGACCTCCATCTCCCCTCAGTAGTGGTAGAAGCAGCACAGACCTGCCATGGGTGAGCCGAGGTCCTCCTGCTCCCTTCCTGAGACGGCAGGAGTGGCTCTGCTCTCTGCACATCTCTCCTTCCCCCCTGGTTGTTCCTCTGAGCTGCCTCCCTGGCATGCAGCAAAGCCACGGGACCCAGCTGGCCACAAAGGCATCTTCCCAAGAGGTTCTTCCCAACAGATGTGCTTCTCTAGATGTGCTATGCTCTTTTCCCTTGCAGAGGTGTACACGTACCATTTCTCTGTTGAGGCTGATATGGCTGGACAGGATTGCGGGGCTCATGAAAGGCACATTTCCAAATGCAATTGTTCTGTTGTCTGCGATTTGATGTCTTAAGTTTTCTACCTTTTGATTCACTGAGCTGTGACATCGCCTTATTCTTTGGGAAGAAGTCTCTCTTTCAACACTAGATCAAAAGGAGCTGGCTGGGGTGAAACGTTCATTCTGCCTGCTCTGGGCCTATACATGCTGCATCAGTTTTTCAGCTTCTTTAAATTTCTTTTGCTCTGCTTTTTCAAAAGAAAGGTTTTGAAGGGAAAAAGAAACTTTGAGAGAGTCAAGATGTGCATTTAGATGTTATCAGCTGGATCTTTTCTGAGGGATATTTATGTGTTAGTCTAGATAAGTAATCTTGGGTCTTTAAGGATCTAAAGAAACAAGTTTTCCAGCCCTGAGGATCAACCATTGAGATGACCACAAATTGCTTTTATCCAAATATTGTTTTTAACAGTCAGTCCTTCCTTTTTACGTTAGAAGATGATGGTGCTAATATTTTTCTTGTGGTCCAGCCACTTGTTTCCTATCAACTTCAGGCTTGTTGGATCATGTCCACATGCACGCTGATGCTCAGTCATGGTCAAATACTAGCCACTATGACCCAAGCAACTGGCAGAGGTAATACCACAGAGACTGAGGGCGGCAAGGGGAGGAAAACAAGGCAAACAGAGCCAGCGAACTGAGCAAGGGCTTTACCTGAAGCTGTGACTGCTTCCACAGGGTGTGCGGGCTCTCAGAAACTGCTCTCGTGGTGATCCCTCACGTCTGTGGTTTGAAAATCGCGTGACAGTAAATTCCACTTACAGTCAGCATCACTCTCTGGCTTCCCTTTTCTCTGGTATGTTCAGGCTAACAGGAGCACAAGGAGGTGCCTTCCCTTTCCTCTTTCTAGGAGCTGAATTTTCTTCTGAAATTACCCAAGTGGGAGACTAATGTTTCTGGAGTGACAAACAGAGAAAATGAGAACTAACTCCTCTTAGGTGATGAAGGGATTGAGAGCAGCCCTGTGCAGAAGGTCTTGGGGATACTGGTGGGTGAAAAAATGGACATGGCTGGCAATGTGCACTTGCAACCCAGAAAGCCAACCGTATCCTGGACTGCATCAAGAGAAGTGTGGCCAGCAGGGTGAGGGAGGGGATTCTGCTCCTCTACTCCGCTCTGGTGAGACCCAACCTGGAGTACTGTGTCCAGCTCTGGGATCCTCAGCACAGGGAAGACATGGACCTGTTCAAGTGGGTCTAGAGGAGGCCACAAAAATGATCAGAGGGACGGAATACCTCTCCTGTGGAGAAAGGGAGTTGAGGCTGTTCAGCCTGGAGAAGAGAAGGCTCCAGGGAGACCTTATTGTGACCTTCCAGTACTTAAAGGGGGTATATAAAAAAGACAGAGAAAGGCTTTTTCCCAAGGCCTATAGTGACAGGACAAGAGATGAGAATTTTAAACTGAAAGAGGGTAGATTTGGGTTGGACATAAAGAAGAAATATTTTATAATGTGGGTGGTGAGACACTGGCACAGGTTGCCCAGAGAGGTTGTGGCTGCCCCCTCCCTGGGACTGTTCAAGGCCAGGTTGGACGGGGCTTTGAGCAACCTGGGCTAGTGGAAGATATTCCTGTCCACGGCAGGATGGTTGGGCTAGATGATCTTTGAAAGTCCTTTCTAACCCAAACCATTTTGTGATTCTGCTCCTGAAGTGATCCACAGAAATTGTTGGACATTTTGGCCTTAAAAAAACGACAAACACCCCAAAACCCCACAAGTCTCTACCCTCAAGAGACCCTTGCATTTTAAGGATGTGTTTTCTTACCCGTGTTGCTGTCTGTCCCCCCCAGCCGTTGCCCAACCTCACCCTGAAGGACAGCGACCCACCCCCAGCACTGGTCCCCCTTGGATGCTCTCCAGGCCATGGAGCAACTTTCCTGCCAGCTCTCACAAGAGGCAGGAGCTGGCCTGGAAATGCCTGTTGCCTTTCGGCAACAACCACACTAGTGCTTGCTTTGTTGCATACTAATAAGCACCAATTGGCCTCAGTGTTATCAACATTGCACGGGAGCTATTTATTGATAGTGGGGTGGCGGCAGGGGAGACCCCAAGGGGCTCCTGCCCTCTGTGGAGGGGTGACTTCCCAGAAGGGTGGAGGCTGAACTTGTGGATACATCTCCACTTGTGAGCCATGGGAGGGCCGTGCCTGCTGGCCTCAGGCCAGCCTTGGTAATGATCCACTTCGGAGGTGAGCACCCCTTCTGACATGGCAGGAGGTTATAGGGAGACCCCTTGTCCTTAAACACACCTGGGGGCATGGGGAGGAGTCGAGCCCTTTGGGAGGTTGGGCAGTGCTCACCTGCAGATCTTGCTGGCATCAAAAGTTCAGTGCCCCTCTCCTACTCCCCTCCCTGGGCACCGCATGCAGCCCCTCCACGCACTGTCTCATTTACTGGTGTTACCCCTGAGCTGCTCACCTGGAGCCTGTCTCCTTGTCTTCACTGCCTTTCTACTTTTGTTGCAACATTTGGCATTTGCTGCAGTAGCTGGATATCTCTTGCAGCTGTACCCCTTGTCTGATCCATCAGCCTGAGCAATGAAGGGCATGGAAACCTCCAGAGGTGGTCCTGCCATGAGGGAAAACACCATCAGGGTTTGCTATGAGCTAGAGAGAGAGAGAGGGAGGCTTGATGGAGCTGGCTCGCACCAGCAGTCTTGAAAAAAACCTCTATCATGCATATAAAATTGTAAGCCTGGCTAATGTGTGATATTGTGTTTGTAGGACGTGGCGAACTGATCTCACGCTGGGGCAGTCCTGGCGCAGGCAGGCCGGCGTCTGGACCCATGGTACGTCGGGGCCTCTGCCAGTGGGAGAGTTGCAGTTGTGGCTTCGGAGGTGGCTCTGCTAATTTTGGACAAGTGGCCTGCTGACCCTGACATTTTCAGGTTGGGATTCATAAGCAATTTCTCTAAAACTGAAAATTAGTTTACACAAGCTGAGAAAGACACCCATAGCTTTTCTAGCATTTGAATCCTGATTATCCCCAGAGAGGAAGAGCAAGTTTCAATCCAGATTCTAGTGACCACACTTTGTTTTAATTTACTCTTTCTTTGCTCATGTAATGACAGGAGTTTTTCCAGAGAAAGGACTCATGAGGAGAGGGGATCGAAGTGTTGGGAGTAGCGACGGGGAAGGATGGAGCACGGGCCAGGTGCAGAGTGTGAGCATAGGGGATGCTCAGCTGGGGAGCAGCCCCAAGAAGCATGATATGGATAATTTTTTTCCTGCCACCTGTTGTTAGGAGCAAATAGAGAGTGAGGTATTGCGCTTCCTCCCCAACTGCGAACGACGGGAGACTTGCTTATGATCGTGCACTGGGAGCTAATTAAAACCAGTGACAATGGTAATTGAGTAAAGATGCTTGAGGATAAGTATGACCTCATGTCTAAAATGGTAATGAGGCCTATTAAAATCCCCACCAAAAAGAGAAATGAAAGAGGGAACAGAGGCAAAGGTGGTGCGAGGGGAGTGGGAGCAGGCGGGGACAATACCTGGCAGCCAGAGCGCCGGGAGGGATGGGGATCACAGAGGTGCCAGGCTTTTAAATCTCCTTAATAAACAGCCCGCTCCTCAGCTAGCCAGGCTGCTGCTCGGGCCGAGTCAGCCAAAACACTTTGGTACGTGTTTAATTCAGGCGTCTTCCTCCCCTGCTCACCCAGGCCTTGGTGTTGGTCCCATTAAGTGATGGCAACACTTGTTGCTGTTTGTTGTTGTCCTCGCTTGCTGATTCTTTGCTGGAAGAAGAAAATGTGCCAGGAAACGGTCAGTGGCTGCTGGCATGGGAAGGGGACCTGCAAAGATATGCCCTGAAATTGCACTGGTGTGAGAAAATGCGTTGGCAGAGGAAAGCTGTGGCAAACACGGGGTGCCGGGGTGCCACGCTCCAGCTCGCGCTGGCATGGCACCAGGTTTCAGCTCCACAACTGGGGTGCAGGGGCTGGGGGCCGCTGTGACCTGGCGTGTGTTGGTTTGCAGGGTGACGTAGCAGGGCTCGGGATGCCACCGTGCTCTGCAGGGATCTGCAGCCTGCACTGACGCACCTTGCCTCAGAGGACACCCCGAGGGACGCCAGGAGGTGGGTGCTCCCCGTCCTGGCTCTGGATGTGTGCCACATCGGTTTATCAGTTTGGGTAAGCTCAGTTGTGGGCTGACAGGCCCCTTCCCTGCACCCTGCTGACGGGGTGAGATACGGTGTTCGCCAAAGGCTGCTTCTCGCTGGAGAAAACCAACCTCATCCTTCTAACAGGGGTGAAAATATGGCTGGATGACGGCTGAGGATGTGCTATGGAGCCAGGATTCAACTGCTCTGAGCTCTGCGATGGCAGCTCCAGTTTTGGCAGCCAGGAGCAGCAGCAGCGGGCGCTGCAGGAGCTCTGCACTGTCACAGTGGTACGTACAGAGGCAGGGGAGTGCGCTGGGGCATGAGGTTTGCTCCGCAGAAGTAGATTTGGGTGGAGGGATAGAGAGGGGAGCACAGGGACACAGCTACCAAACAATCCTGGTCCAGCGAGGGGCCGCACGCTGTCACCTCCTGGGATGGCCTCCAAGACAAGCCCTGCCTCGATGACACCCAAGCACTTAAACAGAAGGTGAGGAAGCAGCCACGACAGCCCAGTCGTGTCAGGCAGCCCTCCTGTGTGTCAGCCAGCATGACAACGACTTAGGAGTGGCCTGGAATGGCCTCCTCTGCTCTTGACCTTTCTCATCCCCTGGAACTTCAAAGTGCTTTTCAAATATGAATAGAGCAGGATTTAATTAAAAGTCATAATCTATAATAAATGGTACAGCCCCCCCCCCTCTCCCCCTCCCCGACTAAGGCAGTAGAAGTGACACTGGGGTGCACTTAGTTGCAGTTGGCTTCACTTGAGGCTGCTGCGTGGACTAGTAAGGCTTGGTCTGCTCAGCTCTCTACCACGGCCTGCACGACCACGGGCCTTTAATTAGAAGACCGTAAACTGCTTGGCTCCTCTGGCTCTGGCAGCTGCCTTACAATTAGTATTCCCCCTGCTAGGGCCAAGATTGTCTGCTCAGTGGCAAATGAAGCACTCCATCAACTTCAAGTAGCATCAACATCCAGGGAAACAGTGGTTGGGGTGGGGGGGGATGTGTGTTGAGAAAAGGAAAATGGAGACCCCAGGGGTGTTTCTGAGCCCTGGGTGGTTGCTGGGAAGAGCGTGCAGAGGTGGGAAAGGGCCAGAGGTGGAAAGGTGGGTGCAGCTGGGAGTGAAGTGTGGGAGCCCTGGGATGCTGAGTCGGCCCTGCTCACCTTACTGGCAAAAGCCAGGTGTTACCCTCAGGCTCAGCCAGGCAGGACGCAGAAATAGGATGGTGTAACAGGCTTGTACTGGCCCCGAGCAGCCCTGTCAGCCCCTCTGAGCTCCAGGCAGGTGGGAAGATGGCCCTGATTTGTGCCGAAGGATGGGGTTTTTGCACAGCAGGCCTGGCTGTAAGGGGAAGGGAACTGACCTGGCTGGCCATCTCCACCATCTGGTGTGGTCTTCATTTCCCAGAGAGCCAAAAGACTCCCCAGGGAATGGAGAGAGGGAAGTGGAGGTGGGCAGCAGTTTGCGTGAGGGAGATGAATATCTCCCCAGAGATCCCTTCGCACTGCTGCAAAGCGGAGCTGAGCTGTGCCTGCGGCTGTATCCCAGCGTCACACAGCAGCAGCAGCAGCACACGCTCTCAGCTGGCTGGGGGTTTGCCTCAGCCAGCATCCCCGCCACCAGCGTGGCACCAGCATGTGAGTTGCCAGCAGCTCTCAGATCAGCCGCACTCGTGTGGCAGTGACACATTTTTGTTTTCAGAATTATGTGTTGGCTTTAATTCTCCAAGCTGTGCCTTATTCTTCCTTGCCCAAGGAGATGGAGCCCAGCTGGGGAAGAGAGAGACAAGGCATCGGCTCGAAATGACTGCCTTCTCCCTGCAGATTTATTGCTAGTAAGGCTGGAAGCAGAAGCAGCTTAGACCTTGAAGGAAGAATTGGGAGTTTGCAGCAGTGGCAACTGTCGAGAAAATAGTCTTCTGCCATAGAAATTGCATGCAGGTGAACTGGAAAACCTGAGAAAGGACGTAGCCTAGAGATGTTAGTGAGGAGGTGTGTAATCCCAGCGCAGTCCCCATCCTCCTCTTACCACTTAAAGGGGATGCACCAGCAGTTAAGTAAAAGTAATGCTGTTTTAAAAAGAAAAATAAAGATGTCAATAACACGCACACATAGTACGTATGAACGAACCCACACATGCACACCCTGTTAAAAATGCTGGAGTATTGTAGATCCACAGCGGAAATACGTTTCTTGTTTCACGTAGGATCATTTTATCCATTCTGTGTTAATAGCAGAGAATATTTTAAAATGGAGATTTAACACCCTAAGGTCACTTGTGTGCAAGAAGAGAGGTACCTCCATCATACCCACCTTGGGAGTGTCCCTCACAAGCCAGTTCTCAGCTGACGTCTACCTAGGACCAAGTTAGTTTCCAGCAAGCTGGGAGACGGGTGGAGCCCAGCTTAGTGTGTCACTGCCTAACGCGTCTGAAAAACGCTGTCCCACTCCCTTTTCTGTATTTTCTGCACTGACTGGCAGCTCTGCTGCTGGTTCTCAGTCACGTCAGCCAGCTGGTTCGTTACCTGCTGCGTGTAGGGGTGAGGGTGGGAGCCAAGGATGCCCTGCCCAACTTTCTAAAGAAGCGTGCTGCCAACCGGGGTACCATGAGGTCTTTCTCCAGAGGTTTCTTTCCAGAGAAGGACAGTGGGGAACCGTCACCATTTTTTTCCCTCTCCCACGTCGAGGGGTGCCTGAGGTTTATGAGTCACTTGTATGGCTTCATGATGTATTTGGCTAGTTGGCTATAAGAAGAGGGCTTCTGGACTGCCTTCTCCTCCTGTGCACTCAGCAAGTGACAGTATGTTTCCTGTCTACACGCATCTCATTAGCCCTGCCTGCAGGTCTTGGTCTGGTGCCAGGGAGTCTGCTCATGAGGAGGGCTTGGGAGATGCAATTTCTGTCAGGGAGCCATCATGCCAGAGTAGGGACCTCCTTTGCTGGGAGCCCCAGCAATGTCTTCTTCCTCCTCACCCCTTTTTGCCTCCCACAGACATCTGACCGCAGTGGGAAGAGCTCTCCGTCCTTCTCTGCTGCTCTCCTGGGAGTTATGTGGACATTCCTGACTGGAGGGGTCCTGCTAGCGCTCTTCTTTCTTGTATTCACGATTCGCTTCAGGAAAAACAGGTAAGGGCTTCCCTCTTCTGCTGTGAGAGTTCCCCTGAGCTGGAGCAGCGGGATCGGGCTCCTTCAAGACCAGGCTCTGGTGGCCAACTAAGGGTCAGAAGGGTACAAATCTGAAGGAGCAGCACGGGGCAAGCAAGGGCAATGCCAGGGATATTGCAGCTTTGTCCATCAGGCCCAGTGTTGATCACTGGTGGAGACAGTCCTGCTTAGACTGCTCCCTTCCTCTCCAAGGCAGGGAGCTGTGGACAAGACAAAGCATAGATGCCCTCCGGCATGGCACAAGCAGCAGTGCATGGTCTCATCCCGAAGGTGCTATTCAATAAAATAGTCAACAGGAGTTAGTAGAAAGAGAGCTGGTCTCCTTCTCCACTCCTCAGTCTTGAGAGCATCCCTTTGAGCAGCATAGCTCCTGAGAAAAGCCGTCGTGCTCTCCATAGTGCACACATATCCTTCCTGCTGCTGGGCCACTCGTAGACTGACGATACTGCTAACCATTTTTGATCTTGGTGGCTGTCCATATTGGTGGGAGACGTGATCTCCATTGGTGAGAGAAGCCTGGTGGTGAAGTTCAGGCTTTCCTTGGTGCTGTTGAGTCTGCAGAAAGATATAAAAAGGCCTGCTCCCCTGAATGCAGCACAAATCAAGTAGAAGGCTCAGCGATTCCTCTTATCTCAAGCTGTCTCAGCCAGCACTTAGCCTTCCTCAGTAATCCTGGATGTCTCACCTGCCTCCGTTCCACCTTCTCCTCATTGGTCCCCTCATCTCTCAACTTCTTCTCCCCCACTGACATACATCCCTCTCCTGAGTTTCTCCTGGCAAAGCCTTTGTGCTCCATGTTTTTCACAGAGATGCACATTTGTGTGCAGCCTGGGCTGCTGCTGTTTCAGTGCTCTGGTTGCATTAAGGAACTTAATGCTTCTTGTCGCCACGGTGCAGTCAGGGAGTCCTGCTTGTAAGGGTTTGTATTGAGCCCTGTGCCTGCTGCGGAGCAGTAGCTGCGTGACCTGCATCCTGGGCTCAAGCACTTGATGTACTGAATCAGAGTGGTGTTGAGTTTGGTGGCCACCTTAATCGATGACCAAATTATTTAGGCCCTTCATTAGAGCAAGCTGTAATGAATGTGCGTTATTTATTTGTGCTGTACCAGATAAATACTGGTCTGCCGACTGAACCTGGGAGGGCGAAGGAGACCTTTTTCAGCATGCAGCTGAGAGGGTGAGCTGATTATATTTCCCCAGCATGGCGAGGAAGGCAGGGAGGAATGTTGAATCCCAGGCTCTGTGTCTGTGAGGCAGCAAGCCAGGATGGAGCTCAAGCTAGAGAAATGCAAGGACTTAGCAGCAGATCAAAGGGATGGAGCTACACAGGGGGATGGCAGGAGCTACAGCTTTTGCTTGATGGGCTTGCTGGAGAAGGGTGACAGGTCGGGAGAGATCGGTGGGTCGATTCTCCCCTCCCTGAATACAGTTACAGGTTTATGAGTGGTGGGATGAAATTACAGAGGGGAAGCTGTAACCTGAACGTTGCTGGCAGCTTCCTGAAGTTGAGACTGTGCTGGGGGTGGAGGTATCTCCTCAAAGGAAGGAGCAGTAGAAAGGGCCCGTTCCTGGGGGCATTTGTAGCTGCTGTTCCTAAAGCTTACTGCTGGGAACAGTCACCCTGGGTTGTGTCAGTGAAGTTTTCCACTTCTGCCCCTTTACAGCAGAGGACAGTGGAGGAAGATGTTGCCCTTGAAGCCAGGGTGCTGAGCTGTGCTGTGCCGTGTGACCATGGGGCATTTGCATCCCCCGGCTCCATGCCGCTGCAGGGATGCGCAGCTGCACAGCTTTGTGTGCCTGGCACAGGCGCTGGTGGCAGAGAGACCCAGCTGTGCTGACCCTGCCTGCTTTGCTGCTAAAAGGCCACGGCTTCCCACAGTTTTGTCTATAAAGACGCTGGCTCAGAGATGCTTTTCTGTGCCGCAGATCCATGCAGGGAGTAGAGGTGCAATGGGGCAAACCTGGTACCCATCAGTTTTGGGGAGGAGGGATCTTGCTGTCCCACAGGAGCATTAGGGTAGAGCAAAACAAATACTTCAAGGGTAGTGAAGCACTCCAGCAATACAGGGCATGGACCATGGCTGAGCTTTTGGAGGAGCTGTGAGCAACAGGGGCTTGGGGGAGGACAGTGTGTCAGATCCCTGTGGCCGCCATCATCCCTGTAAGAGGACCTTGCCCCTGTGCTGCCAGACCATGATGCTCAGTAACTGTCACCACCTTCCCTGCTTTGTTTCCTGGAGGATCGTGAAGATGTCCAGCCCCAATCTGAACATTGTGACCCTGCTGGGCAGTGGCTTGACTTACACTAGTGCTTACCTCTTTGGGATTCAGGAGCAGAGCCTGCCATCTGGAGACTCAGTGGAAAAGCTTATTCAGGTGAGTGGGGGGTTTGCTGGGACAGCTGCCATCACAGAATCACAGAATTACAGAATTATCAAGGTTGGAAAAGACCGTGAAGATCATCTAGTCCAACCATTAACCTCACACACGTGCATGTAGGTGCGTGGTTGTACGTCCTCTCCCTTAGCTGCAGTCTGTCACCACAGCATTCAGCCAGGCTGTGGTCTCCACATACACGCAACCGGGTGCTTTCCCTTTGAATGGCCTTTGCTGTTTGTGCAAACCACGGCCATGCCGGCAGGATGCAAGGCGGGTCTCCTGGGCTTGTAAAAAATGCAACAGGGAGAGGGGAGCTGCAGGGACATGGGATCCTCCGCACGGCCCTTGCCCGATGTGCTGTGAGGTTGCAGGTGAATCTTCTGGCTGCAAAGCAGATCTTCATCAAAACACTGATCTGTGTGGTTAAACCCCGTGTCCTAACCAGGCTGGGGACTGGTGGGAGAGTAGGAGAGAGCACACCCTGCCATCCTGCTCAGCCACCAGGCTGAGTATAATTAACAGAGGTGCCAGCACGTGATTTATTGGTGCTGGGATCCTTCATGCCCTGGCTGCTCGCAAGCTGCTTGGCTCTCCCTGCCTGCCCTCTGATGAGAGCCTCTCAGGGCTGTCTCT